AAGAAACACATACATTTCTAGGTCTAAAACAAGATAAAACGTCTTATTTAAGTTGGAAAAATAGGGATATCATGGCATACATTATAACAAAGTATAAGAATTTCATATAATAAATCTGTTTTATCAAAAGGAACTTTTCCAAAGACAGTCACATAAATAATCTCAGAAATTCAGATTCCATATTTCTAAGGATGATGGACATTTGGCTATATTGATTTAGTAAAGATAAAAAACTAAAACCAGTATTCACTATTTTTAGGAGCAAATTAAATAACATGCTTAAATATCAAAACAAATCCAAAATTTTAAATGATCATTAAATAAAAGTGAAAACAATTAGAATAGGGTAATTAAAAACAAGAAATTGCACGAATGGAAGCAATTGGCTAGCTATAAGCATGGAGGAATCTGGGCATACAAATAACATGAAGCAACAATATGGCACTGCCATTTTGAAAGAAATGATATTGTAATAGATAAATGCAAATGATCTAAGAGCTAAGATAAATTATTTGAAGGTCCATATTTTAATATAGGCCAAAATAAAGGGTCCAGTCATTCTAATCTTGCTTCTAAGCCCTCGAATATAGCAGGCACTTATTATTGGCTAAATGAAGATCATTAAGTAAGAACTTGGAGCCACTGAGTAGCTAGCAATCTCCAGAGCCAAAACATAAACCTGAATGTACAGGATGTGTCATGGGATAATTATCTTAGTCATAATCTTGAACATTAAAATTCTGTACAAAATAATAATGGATACTTCACCTCCAAAGGAGTATATATTACCCCAAACTCTGTACTACAGGAGTTTAAGGACAAAGTAGTGAGGAGACAAAGTAGAGTCATGATCTTTCCACAGGGAAAATGGTAGCTCTTAAAATCCAGATAGATGGACATACTAAGATTGTCTACTAAGGAAAAAATGGGAGTTTAAATTATTTAATTGGAAAAGCCAAGGATAAGAATGTGATAAGCTTTGATACATAGAACGTTATTGTGAGCCAATTTTTCCTAGCCACCAGTGTAGAATGTGAGGAGTCAGATTGGCTGAACATTTTATGAAGTTATCAAAAATACTGGCAGAATCCACTGATCTTTTGAAAGTTCTAAAATACTGTCACTTCACATGATAGAGCACACTAGAATATTTGATAACCTTCTAGTTAAAAAAAAGAATGAAGAAGGCACAAAATAAAAAAATGGTAAAGTTCTGTTAATTTATAACAAATTTAAAGAGAGGAATTTGTCTACCAGTGTAGCTCCACGCTTAACTGTTTTCCCTTATTAATGATAGCTTGGCTTTGGTTTACTAATCAGCTCAGCATATTAATGCTAAAGTTAGCAATTCTTTATAGTTTAGTTTCAAGTTTTAACTTTTAAAACTACTTTTTATTGTGCCTACATAAAATGGGATGCTTTTGAATTTCAAAAGTTTATCTTATTTTTCTTTCTAAAAACATTTAATCAACAGATTAGGTGATGAAAAGTAAGATAGACAGTGGTGGGAAATTTTTTAAAAATCACAACACTAATAACAAAACATATTTCTAATGATAATCAAGAGCAAGTTCCAATAAAGTCTAAGATAACTTCGTAAGTGGCAATTCTAGTTCTTAAAAACTCCAATTAGATATAAAGCAAAATATTATCATATAAAAGTCTCTTTTCTTTTCTGACAGGATCAAAGTAATCATTACCTGCCCTTGAGAATAGAAACAACAAAGTGACAGTTAAACATTACTATAAACTGAGAAGATCCCTGGCTTTTACTATTTTAGAACAGACATCACTTAAAAATCATGTTAAAATTAGTAAGCAGCTTTTAAAAAAGCAATTAACTTCTGGATTTATGGTAACTGCTCT